TGGAAAAGATATTACAATCATTGAAAAAAGAACTAAAAATATGTGGAAGGGAAACTTCTCTTGGAATTTATTCTGCTGCCGGATTTAGAAAGGTGCGGGAAGCAATATAGGCAGAGGTCTGTTTGGAGATATCAACTCTTTATTGTTTTCACCTCCTTTCTGTTTGACTTCAAGAGCTTCAAAATGAGTTTAAATCTGCTGAGGAATGTTCGGCTCTCACATCAGGCTTTCCACTGAAATACATAACTTGATACTTGAGTTAGAGTCATACTAATAGTTCATTAACAAGCCGTTCTTATACATCCATGGAAACGACTCGCTGGTATATCGAGCTGAGCGCTCATTGGTGGTTTTTTACCCCGTGCTGGTGATGAAACTCTCCAATTGGTTCCGCAAAAGTTTGTTGTTGTTTTGTGTCAGTTTTACGTCGCCACTTCCATTCACATTTTTCATCATTGTTCCACAATGTTTATCATCATGAAATTAATATAAATGTTATACTATACTTGCACTGCTTACTGTTTTCATACTTTATATATCTTAGCATATTCATACACACTGTTAATACTGTTCATACTGCTCATAGGCTACTGTGCTACTGTATACTGTATCTATAGTGTATTCATACCCCTCACTGTTTATTCATCATTCAATTCATTCTATATTTTATTCTGTAGATTGTGTACATTACTTTTCACTTTACTGCTTTTTGCACTCCTTGTTAGAAGCTAAACTGCATTTCGTTGTCTCAGTACCTGTAATCTGTGCAATAACAATAAAGTTGAACCTAATCTTGAGCAGGAACAAATGTATTTACTTAGTACATATCTGACATTAACGATTAAACACATGTGTGCATTCTTTATGAATGCAAACCGAGTTAAGCCGACTCCGAGAGGAGAGACACCTCTGGAGATCAGAAGAGAGAAACTTGCTCTGTCATAGGCCTACTGGGTCAGGCTACAAGGAAGTGGAGAGGAAAATATCACAAACAGAATACTACAGGATTGCTGTATACAAAGTTCCAGGGGCGTGGGTTTGGCTGGACAAGTAAGGAGATAACGAGGGCATATGGAGTGGAGACCATCAAGTTTGTCAAAGCAAGCCCATTTAGCAGTGTTCCCCCATGGCTTTTCCCAGAAGCTAATATAGATGTGAGGCTATCATAGAAAGGAACAAAGAGTGGCAAATAAATGAAGTGGGAATTAAAACGAGTATGTACCCGAACGAAAAGTATTACAATTACCTCAAAATGTATACAGATGGATCTAAGAAGCAAGAATGCGTGGGGATAGGCGTGTATATACCAGAATTCAAAATATCAATCTCAAAACGAGTTGCACATAACTTATCAGTTTATACAGCAGAAATACTAGCAGCAATTATTGGGCTACAATGGGTTGAACAGGTCAGACCTGATAGGGTGGTGATATGCACAGACTCACTATCTGCTTTGAAAAGCATACAGTCGACAATAACTGTTAGAGAAGATTTCATTATTGAACTTAACCATTGCTTATTGAGACTTCAGAGAAGGGGAATAGATGTGCAGTTATGCTGGGTGCCTGCACATGAGGGGGTTCAAGGGAATGAGCATGCTGATAAGTTAGCAAAAGATTTGTTACAGAAGGAAATAGCAATACCATTTCACTTGGAAAAGGAGAAGGAAAAGCAATAATTAAGAAGAAGGGTATGGAAATATGGCAGAAAAGGTGGGAGGAAGATCCGAAAGGGAGGAGATACCACAAGTTACAGAAATCAGTCATAACAAAGATCTATACAGAAAGGAACAGACGGGAGGATATCATCATCACTAGACTCAGATTGGATCATACAGGATTAAACGGCACATTGTTTATAATGGAAAAAAGCGAAGTTGAAGAATGCAGTGGAGTGAAAGAAAATGTGGAACACATCATATTACACTGCAACATGTACAAAACAGAGAGGGAAAAACTAAGAGACAGGGTCAGAGAGGCAGGAAGGGAGTGGAGCCTGATACTGGGAACAGAAGGTGAGGGGGTAAGAGCTACCAGGAAGGCCATTCTTAAGTATTTGAGTGAAACAGGATTGATTGGAAGAATTTAAGACAACGTAAATACAGTGTTATAATTCCACAAGTGGTGATAGGATGATATGGTGATACACACTATTGTACAGTAGGTGGCGGTATGCACCTTAAAGCTGTTTGCAATCCGCTAAAAACCGAGAGAAGAAGAAGAAGCCGACTCCGCTGTCCGACTTCAGGCGAGCTTTTGAGACCTCCCCCGGCTGCAATCGGCTATTCTCGTCTACTTTCGAGGCGAGCCGCAGCTCATCTCAAACAAGCCTGATAATTATGAAGAAGATGTAATAAATATTGTCATTGTGTCATTTTTATTTATAATAAATACATCCACCAGCACAAATCTTCTTTTCTAATTTTCCATTAATGTGTTTACAATTTTAAAACCATTTAATCTTGTAGCATCAAGTCCGCTCCAAGTCCGCTCCATTTCAATTGGTGTCTTTCATATGCGACTGTCATATGCGACTGTAAGCAGACTGCAATGCAATATTAAATAACGTCCCTCTCATAAAGTAAAGTTCTACCAAAATTCCTTCAAACATCTCCTAACACTACCCCTGGTTTTACTACATTAATAACATCTGTTTAAGGTATAAAGGCTTTTGCATCTAGGATTTTTTTTTTATTGCATTTGCTTCATTTTATTGAATTTTCTTTAAGCAACTTTTCCTTTTCTTTTTTTAAATGTGTCATGTTTTTTTTTTTTTTTAAATATACAGCCCAAAATGTTCTATCAGACTGGGGATTCAAACCCACGTCTCACATTGATCTGGATTTGGACTACTCTGACCACTGAGCTATGGCATTGGGATTGATTCGAAGTGAACCATTACTTTTTTTGCGCCCCTTGGAGGTGAGGGGTTTCCCCTTTAGGCTGGCAAGGACATGTCATCTTCAAAACATTAAAACTCTCAAAGAAAATGAAAACATAAAAAGTCCTGTACCTTTGTGTATGTTTCTTTCTTTTTGTATTTCAAATTTGTATTGAATTTTCCATTCAGAACAAACACACATTGGCGGTACACTGCATAAACAAATCCCTCTCCCGTGGTCCAGGCATTGACATTAAAAGACATGGCATGAAAATAAATAAATAAATCACAAAATAGAAAATTAGGTATATCAGCAATGGAAAATAAAAAGTGTGCAATTCTTGGTAAACATTCAAATGAAATAGAGTCTCTGTAGGCCTTTATGTGTGTCCAGAAAGTAACGCTCCCAAGGATTGTCCTCAGCATTTTCAATGCCTTTCATCCTAGTGAGCATAGCCTCATAGGATGATGTCTCCACCATAGCATTAACCCATGCATTCCTTCATATGTGGAGGCTTGTCTATTCTCCAATGCCTCAATCTAATTTTTGAAGCTGTAATCAAAGCAACCATTATAACAGAGAAAGCACTTTTCGAAACATGTGGCATCTGAGATCTGTCCCCCAACAGACACACAACAGGAGTCAAGGGGATGACTGAGCCAGACCAGCTACTCAGGACTTCTACTACTTTAACCCAAAAAGGTCTAATCAATGCACATTCCTATATACAATGTAGGAAAGTCCCAACTTCTGTTTTACACTTCCAGCACAGGCGTTGGTGCTGCCGGATTTGGCACCCCCACTATAACTTTGTCCAGGGTGGTCGTACTGTCATCAAAATCACACTGGTGTTTGCTGTCCCCCTCTAGTTTGTGCACTGAAAAAAAAGCATTTGACTCTGGGCTCAGCAGGTGAAAAACTAAAGAGGGGCTTCCACATGTGGCAGACCAGGCGTTGGGGCTGCCGGATTTGGCACCCCCACTATAACTTTGTCCAAGATAGTCGTACTGTCACCAAAATCACACAGGTGTTTGCTGTGCCCCTCTAGTTTGTGCACACAAAAAGTACTCTGTACTCTTGTTGACTCTACTCTTGTTGACTTGTTGACTTTTTACTCATGTCATGTTCTGTCCTCCATAGCTGTGTGCTCGTTATGTGCATAAAGGTACAAATTCACTCAAAATCACATCACAGCCAGACCTTTAGTTGAGCGTTTATTGTTTTACCAACACATTGGTGGTTCAGAGGTCTATGCATTGGTTTATCATGCAGGTGCCTAAGGTTCAACACCCAGGGGAGGAACATCATTTGTCTTCTAGTATGCTGATGTTAAATCCGGAGAAATTGTCCCCACCACTTTTTCTAACAACGCCCATGCTTTAAGTACCATTTTGCAGAATGGCCCATTTAAGCACCATATATTTGTATTATCATTATACATTATCACTTGTTGCACTTATTGTTTTTTTTTAATTTATTTGTATGCTATTGAGTAACTTAACCTATAATAATAACCTATCATTGTATTAGTTAATTTATATTTTGTATTAATAATCTTAAACCTTAAAGTAGTAAGTGATTACATCTGTTTAAAAAAATGTAGTGGAGTAAAAAGTAGAACATTTGCCTCCAAAATGTAGTGGAGTGAATTTTTAAAGTAGCATAATGTGTAAATACTCAAGTAAAGTACAAGTACATCGATGTTTTACTTAAGTACATTAAGTACAGTACTTGAGTAAATGTACTTCGTTACATTCCACCACTGCTAACAACGGAAAATACGAATGGAGTTTTCTTGTCTTTATTAGCCCTCTCTGACAGGGGCGGCAGGTTGCCTTGGAAACATGCATACAGCAGCAGGTAGCTGTAGAGGAGCGAGCATTTTTTAAATGCCAAATAACGTTGCCGCATAATGACAAAGGTAAGTGCAAACCTTTTTTAGCTAGCTAGTTAGTAACGCTAGCTAACTTATATTAACGCTAGCGACGTGATAATGCTACGTAACAGCAACTAAAATAAAGTATACAAAGTACAGTTACAGGAACTTTTTGTTTACCTAACGTGTTTTCAATTGTTCTAATGTCACAACTAACCATTTGTTAAGTTTGCTGGTTTTTATTTGTTTTCACACAGGCGTCAACGGTTCAGAAGGTAGTTTTACCTGGTGCTAAGTCAACCAAAGCAGCAAGCAAGAAAAAGCCTTGCCTAGCCTATATTACGCAAGCCATAATATAATAAACAAAAAACCCATGTTATTCAGCTGTAGACCTACATATAGTCGGATAAAATAAAACAATAATTATTATTTGTTCACAAACTAAAAGAGTATGGCCCGTCGTGAGCATTTTAATAAAGGCTCGCAGCTGCCGACTTGTTATCAAATAGCCTTTAAACAAATTGTAACACAAACTCTTTGACAAAACTAGAGCAAAATGCCTAGCTTATGATGTTTTAGCCTACTTTCTACGCTTTTTCAGACCTGTGAAGTGGGTAGCTGCGGATTCAAAATCAAAGGTCCCGAGTGTCTCTCCACAACTGGCAATGCGCATGAGCCGTGTGACCTTGTTCTCGCCAAGCCGACTTCGCTGCGCTGTTTTGATTCTGTTCTGTAGAGAGAATCCTCTCTCTGCCGGCACACTGGAGACAGGGATCACGCATGCTATCTTGGCCAGTGTGGCCCACTCAGGATAGATGTTGCCTAAATCTCTTACGAGGACTTCGCAAGCCGTTAAGAAATGCAAGCCTCCGTATCCGCGGAGCGCTGTCATCACGGGGATGGCATCTCTGTGGGCGCTTGTGGCATCAATGAGAGGGGCACTGGCTTGCGCCGAGTCATCCTCACTGGCAATCCCTTGGCCAAAATGACCAATAATGGTTTTGAGGGCTGGTTCAGCGTATATTTGAAGCGCTGAAGGGACGGAGAAATAATGAATTGTTTTATGTAACGCAAATAAACACATTTAAATAACTTGTGACACAATTTTAGGAAGGCCTATACTTACCACTTTGTGCATTTGGGTATCGGGATGGGTTCAGAAGGACGTCAAAGCTAGTGATAATACTCAGGGACTCTTCAGGAAAGCGGTTGTGTAAAGCATCTATAAGATGTGTAATGTAGCGTACGCGGACATTACTGAAAGCCTGCCGGGACCGGTCATCTGCGTGTGTCACATTCACATCCCTGTACATGCCATTTTGGCAATCTGCCTGAAACCTCTCTTCTTCGGGACCGGGGGAATCCCTCAACTGTGTGAATGCCGCAACTGATGCGTGAACCATTGGTCGGATTGTGGCCAGATTGACATCCTCTTTCTGGAAAACCAAATTAAGTTTGGTCATAACAGGTAGCACATCAGCCAGTGCGTGAGTCCAGGCGATAAAGCAGTATGGCTGGATTTGACCAAGGATGCCTTTTGCTTGGGCATTTCCTCCAACAGCCTCTTCATGTAGCTCCATCACCAGAGCAGGCCAGTTTAGCTTGATACCCTCCACTGCCCTGTGCAAGGATAACCAGCGGACAGCGCACTGCTGTTTAGGCTTTTCACATCTTCATCCCCGAGCGCTGCTGTCATTTGACGGAGGCGATTGGTCCTGCTGGCTGAGTGCTTGTAAAATGAGTACACAGAGGATACTGTGCGCTTGTAAACTCCTACTTGGTCCACAGCTTTTGCAGCATCTATCGCGGCCAGCGCAACTCGGTGGGCAACACAGTGCACCTGAATGCAAAACGCACTCTCTCTCTTCAGAAGAGCACCAACTCCAGCACGTTTGCCCATCATTACACTAGCCCCCTCTGAGCCCAGGCCAATGACGCTTGACAGTTTCACATCCCTCTCGCGGAGCACCTCATCCACCTTGTCAAATATACACTGTGCTGTCCCGGAGTGCACGTCATAGTTTCCCAAAAAACACGTCTCCACTTTTCCTTTAATTTGCAACTTGGCGTATATTATCAGCTTTTTGTCCACAGTGATATTAACCGTCTCGTCAATGATTATTCCGATAAAGTCACTCTTCTTTAGTTTTTCGTCCAGCTGCTTAATCAGGACTTCATCTATGGCCTTTTCCATGTCATCAACGGAATCACCGTGCCGGTAAATTCCATCACCTGTGACAAAATCAGGAGCCTTCACTTCTCGTAGTAGCTCAGTCAACCCTGCATACTGATTACCTGCAATGTCGTTTTTAGCCATGTGAAACACGACTTTTAGCTGAGAACATAGCTTCATGTTGGAAGCTTCATTCGCCCTCTCGCAGTGGCCTTTCATTGCGGTTTGTTGTGGTATTGTGTTCACTGACAAAATGTGCTCATTGCTCTGACTGTTCAATAAGCGCAGAGGTTCTCATATTTGTTGCTCCTTTGGTGAACCCGTTCTTTCTCCCCGACTTCTCGCAGTGTGAGCAGAACAGAATTTCTTCCCCATCTATAATGTCGCACCTCAGCCAGGTGAATGTATCTTTCCATACGGGTCTGAACGCGCGGGATCTTTGTTTTTTTCTGTCCGGGGCCAAGGCATCTACGGTCTCATTGACAGCAGGCGTTATCGCCATCTCATTGTCGGTATTATCATCATTAGACCTGCTTGGTTTAAAGAAATAATTTTTAAGCTTAGCTTGTTTTGCCATGTCCGATTTTTCTCATCTCTCTGTCGTCCTGTTGTTATTGTGCGCCCACTTTATCTTACTGAATGAAACAAATGTAACGGGTTCGTTCCACATTACGCCGTGGCCTACAGTGCGCTTGCCTATTAACACAAAAGATAATTTAATTTAATTTAAACAAACAAAAACAAAAATCTATTTATTGTTTATTTGAATACACTTTATATTGCGCTAAGGGCAACATATTTTTACCGGACATGTTGACCGGAGAGATTTAGATTTGCCGGACTTCCGCATATTTTACCGGTCATTGTCCGGTAATTACCGGCTAACGGGAACTCTGATACAGGCTTATTACTTTACATCACTCACTATAGATGCAACACTGCAATTCTGAAGCCACCTCATATTCATTTCTGAGAAATGCAGACATTATTGCTCCCCTCTGAGCTATTCACATTTAAAAGATGGCTGTCCAAACCAATGTCCCTGGGTTGTTTTGTTTCAAAGGTGTTTTAATGTTTAAGTGGTTTATTTTCTTCTTTTCCAACCAAAATAAAACAGGTGTCTCTGCTTAATATTCGTAACATGATTGCATATTGTTTCTCCCAGGAACGTTCCTACAAGCCTACCATTGCTGTGGATCAGATGGCTGTTCAATTTGTTTTGGAGGGCAACCTTTTGCATGAAGACTCTGATGAGGCTCGTAGACAGAGGGCCAAGGAGGGTCTCCCTGAGGGTAGTTACTGAAACATGCTGCAATACTCTTCTATGTTTACAGATCACAGTAACACTTTTTTTTTAGATATTCAAGGCTTGTAAATGATTATCTTCCACAACACCTGCCCACATTGCTTCAGAGTGATTGTATAGCTCGTTAAGTTGTTTTCCTCTCTGTTGTAGTGCATTATAGGTGCCACAAGGTGTCACTTTCAACATGTGCCGGAGAAATGAAGACAAAAAAGTCAAAGTCAGCTTTATTTTCAATAATTCTACATGTTGTACATCCAGAAATATCGAAATATCGTTTCCCGCAGTCCTACAGTGTGACTTATATACATAAAACAAAAAAACAAAAAGGGCCTAGATAAACATGGTATACATTAAACAAAACAAAGGGCCTAGATAACCGGGGTATACAGATTAAAGTGTTAATAATATTATTTAAGTGTTCAAAGTACAGTTTCAGTGCAGTAGCATGGGGGATGGGCAGAAAAGTGAGTTAGGGGGTTAGAGTCCACGTGCTTAGGGTTAACACAGAACAAGTGATGTGTTCAATTTCCACACAGTGAAGTTATGATTTCATATTTTCAATGTGTCCAGAAACTGCGGCAGTCGATACTGGAGTGGAACCTGATGAGGAGGAACCAGAAACATCGGTAACAAAATGTGTTGAGATCAAATCTTAGTAGTGGTTTTTGTTGGACAGTATATTCATTTTTAAACAATGTATGACATGGTCTTTTTATCTACATTTCGATGCAAGGCCATTAAGTGAAGGGTATAACTTGAGCTTCAACACTTTCTCCTGTTTATTTCCACAGGATACACCCGTAGAGGATGGAGGGGAAGTGGAGGAAGCAGGAGAAGAGGACAGACCAGACAGTGTCGCCTCTAAAACCGACAGGAAGGAGCCAAAAGTTACTAACCAGTTCAACTTCAGTGAGAGGGCCTCCCAGACCCTCAACAACCCACTGCGGGTAGGAAGGAGTAGAGAGGAGCATCTAATGCCTTATCTCAAAACACATATTAAGTATAATAGTTAAGATGTCTTACATTAAAAAAAAAAGCTCATTTACAATATTGGAATGTATCCAAAAACTAATATTGATGTGTGCACCACACAATATTCATAACCGACTGCCTCAAGAGTTTCAGTGGAGTCATTTAAATGTTCCTGTAGGAAAGAAGCTGCCAGACTGATCCTCCTCCACGCGGCACCTTCTCCGCCACAGCTACTCAGGTACTGGATCTCTTCACTTTTTAGTAATACAGCTGTTGAGCCCAGTTCTCATACTCTTGAGCATCTGTGAATACTGTATATCTGCTCACATGGGATGACTGCAATAACTCTATTCTCTTGCAGTGGGGCATCTATGATGCGTATGTGGAGGAGCTGCAGAAACAAGAAACAAATAAAGAGAAGCAGAAGGCTGTAGCATCAAAGAAAGATAATGACAAAGGCACAAAGAAGACGCTGCTGATGGAGACTCAGGTACATTGTGCTTACCAAACATCCTGCCTAAGCTAAACCTGTGTCTTATATTTGCATCTTAGCTTAGGTACATCTGAATAAACCGTTACTATTTGCCAGATTGAGCCATATGCAAAAACATGCTATGTTCTGGGTTTCGTGAACAAAAGAAATCATCAAGAATCGATATCAATGTTGTTTGTAATCTTTGACATGTACAGGAATTTGCCAAAAAAGAATCCTGCTTACATTTCATATAGAAATTATTTCATTTTGTTTGTTTGTTTTCCTTCAAAAAAGTAACTTAATATAATCAAATGTGCTTGTAAAGAGTTAGCAGTCTGAACATTATTGAATATCTGGCATTGAGACCATGCTGGGTTGAAGTTGTTTAAAGGTTTTAATTCAGTATAAAATATAGTGTAAAATAATATTCAAAGGACATCAAAACAACTCTTTTCAACTGAAGCACAAGGGTTAATGTTGTTGCCATGCAAATCATACATAAATTGCCTTAAAATACATCGTTAATGTTTAAGAAATCATAGAGTCTAAACCTCAAAGCTATGACTAACCAGGGCTCAAGGTAAAGCTGAACCATCATATTCATCATTTCATATAAGTCTATGATTATTTATTAAGGTAAAGTATTTATTTGCTGTGTTTCTGTTATAGACTGATGACATCACCAAAGTGGGAAAGGCGGCCAAGATCATGGAACGAATTGTCAATCAGAACACTTTTGATGACATAATTCAAGGTATGTTCTAATAAACATTACAAGCGACAGAATAATACACCAGCATCCCACTTGATATTCAGCTTGCTGCAGATTCTGTTATCTCCTTTTCTTTTCTTCCTGCCCTCCTTTCATGCCCTTTCAGATTTCAAATACTTTGAGGACCCTTCTGATGAGTTCAGGGGCCAGAAGGGCACCCTTCTCCCTCTGTGGAAGTTTCAATATGACAAAGCTAAGGGACTGTCTGTCACTGCCCTCTGCTGGTAGGTTTGCTCATCGCCTCTGCTGCTAATGTTCATGAGAATGATGTTTATAATTTTTTGGGGTGGAATAAGTAGCTGCAACTGCCCCACTATCTAGTGTTAGATGACTGATGGATGATCCTTTCTTCAACAGGAATAAGAAATATCAGGACCTTTTTGCTGTGGGAATGGGATCGTGTAAGTACGCATGATAAAAATAAGAATTGATGAGTGAGCAGTAATGTTAACATTTCTGAGACTATTTTCATTTGACCTGAATTGAATTGCCTCCATTTTATCATGCATATTTGGTGTTTGACCTGGTCTTTCCTCCGGTCCCTTCTCCTCTTTTCCTCTGCCGATCAGACGACTTCAGTAAGCAGGGGCGTGGCATGCTAGTCTACTACTCCTTGAAGAACTCTTCCTACCCAGCGTACATCTATCCCACCCCTTCTGGCGTCCTGTGCCTCGACATCCATGAGCAGCATTCCTACCTGGTGGCCGTTGGCCTCTATGACGGCTGTGTGGCTGTCTACAACAACAAGAAGAAGGATGGATCGGAGCCTATGTATAAGAGTACAGCTAAGACTGGCAAGCACACAGACCCCGTATGGGAGGTGAGAGGAGGGGACAAGGGAGAGGCGATAGGAATTCAGTTTGTATATATTTATTACCAGGAACTCCACCCTTGCTCTATTACTTGGTCTCCATTTGTGCATCTACGTGGACTTTTTAAAACCTATTCCTGACCAGTTAGTTTGTAGAGGAATTTGAATGAAATATCACTAACGTGCTGCGATGTGGAGTCATAACACTAACAGAGAATTTCATATGATGGCAAATAAATCGAATGTCTCATAAATGTGAATGTAAAATGTAAATTCTTACTCAAATATCATTTTCTTATCCACATGAACCTCTTTCACTTACACTAAAACCAACAATTGTTTTTGTTTTCAGTGATGTATTTATTCGTTTTTTCATTCAGGTGCGCTGGCAGAGCGATGACATGGACAATAACCACAATTTCTGTTCAGTGTCATCTGATGGACGAGTTGTGTCCTGGACTCTAGTCAAGGTTAGCCACAACCTTGTATTTATTCATATATATTCTCACTATAACATTTTCCATTATATGATAGTATTAAAGGTCCCATGTCATGCTTTTCCGGTTATTACCCGTCCCCTTGTGTGTCATGTAGCTTTTTCTGCATGTAAACGGTCTGCAAAGTCACAAACCCTCAAAGTACCCCCTGTAGCGAGTAAAACACAGAAAAGACCTGTCTATGCTGCCCCAGAACGCCTCGTTGGAGATTTCTCTTTTTCTATTTTTTTCTTCCGGGGCCTATTGACGTCACTAAGTCCAAATGGACCAATTGGCACACAGCTATAGAACAATAGGCACACCCTCTGCCAGGGTGGACTCCCGAGCAGCTCAGGAGTCCCGGAGCGGACAGTGTGAGGTGGATTTCCCGCTGTGTTTCCCTGGATGTTGGATATAGACCAACTGCCGTGCCGGCGAGACACCGCAGAGCTCGTGTCCGCTGGCATGGAACGCAGACCCCCACGCAGCAACCAGGAAACGACACCAGTATTCCACCTCACACTGTCCGCTCCTCGAGCCCCACAGGGCGGACCAGCGAGCCCCGCAACGTGCCGCCAACACGGCACCCAGACCCCACGTAGCATTCTCATCTGTTTGTCATTACTGGTTTCATTTTCTGGTTGCTAACGCCATTGTAACACATAATCACTGATGTTCCGCTGTAACGGTGGTTGACTAATCAGAACAGAGTGGGCGAGCTGACCAATCAGAGCACAGTGGGCTCATAGGGAGGGGGGGTCAGGAGCTCCAACAAGCCGTGTAGGACAGAGAGTGAATACACATACTATACAGAGATGCTGTATGAGAAAACCAATGTGAGTTTGGAACATTGAACAATGTAAATCTATTGATTGACCTCAACAATGGAATTATGATCAGTAGAAATGGCCATGACATGGGACCTTTAAAGGTCCATTTATCTTATTCTATGTTGTCTCACCAAAATGCCAATATAATGAAACTTTTGAGATGCACTCTTTATATGTCTTCCTGTGTGTTTGTTCACATTTGCAATTTATTATTTTTGTATTTGCGTGTGTGCATAATTGTAATATTATTTTGCATCCAATATATGAATCCATACATATTACTTCATCACAGTATGTTTGTATTCTTGCAGAATGAGCTGGTCTTTACAGATATTATCAGGCTGTCACTGAATGGTGCTGTCTCCGAGGGCCCGAATCAGCTGCCTGCCATCGGTAAGGTCTCCGTTACTCAGCATGTCATCTTGTGCATGTATCTAAGAACATCACATTTATAATACAATGTATTTGACTACTAAAAGTACTACACGTTAAATAATACCTGATATTAGATCAGATTTGACTCTGTCTTGTTCATGCTGGTGTCTGTGACAGTGTGTGTCTAATTGAAGTGCTGAATGCTCTTGTCCACAGCCTGTGGTACCTCGTTTGACTTCCATAAGCAGATCGACTATCTCTTCCTTGTTGGCACCGAGGAGGGAAAAATACACAAGGTATGTATCTACGATTCCAGTTAGCTGTTTTTTGCTGGATGACATGAGCCACTTCCAAAATAAGATTAGGCGGTTGTTGATGTGACTCATTTAGACAGTCAAATATCCAGGGGGGGAGAGAGAATCACAACATGACTCCTGATATAATAACAAGACGCTTCACATTGACCACAGTACTGACAATATAGAAACATCTTATATTACACTATAAATGACATGCCCGTCATAACCTGTAGGCATGACAACATACACATATACATGTGTGCAGGGCCGTCCCTGGCCAACATGACGCCCCACGCAAAGTTATATGATGAGGCCCTCTGTTTCGCGAGCGTCGATGGGGGGGAGGGGGGGAGCTAGTGGAGCCTCGCAGCGGCGAAACCGTGCCGCGCCACACTAATTTTCGGCTCAGTTGAGGCTCCCTCCGCAAGATGAGGCTCCCTCCGCAAGATGCGGCCCCCTCCGCGAGGTGAGGCCCCACGCAGTCTGCATGATCGGCCTGTAGGGAGGGACGGCCCTGCATGTGTGTAACAAAAACATTAGCCTGTAAAAGGGCAACATCGTTTGTACAACAACATAGGGTACTGCAATATTTACTTTATTACATACTTTAAAAGGCTCATGTTTACTTTTTATCATTTTCATTATTATATTGATTTCTAGATAGATTTTTAAACACACAGGTTGCTATGGATATCAGATCATTTCAGCAGAGACTTGAAACTTGCTTTAAATAATCCTGTTCTATGACAGTTGTGTGAATTCTATGTGCTCCTAATCCATGTAGCATGGTAAAGTGCACTACTTGAACAGGGTATTAAAGATGAAATCCACCTGAAACTGTTGATTATACAGTAATACTGATTTAGTTTCTCCTGGATGACAATCCGATTTAAAAAAGAAAAAAGCTTCAAAAGCTTCAAAAGCTTTAAAGCAGAACCAAATAAACAATAAGCCGCAACACTTGATGCAATTGTATTAATATGCATCACAACAGTGGAGCTACCCACAGTGCATTTGAATGACTGCTGACAAAGGAGCTAGACAAAGAGGACAAACAAGTCTGGAATTTGTAATACACAGTCAAAAATGCCAAAAGTACTTCATGGTAAAAAGTAAGTTGACTTATTGTTAGGCCCAGTTTAAGGTATTGTGACGCCTCTCCTACTGTCTTTGAGGCTCTTGTGGACCACCTCAGCAAGTATTGGCGTACATGGGGACTCGCCTGCTGATCTCACCTCGGTCATACAGGCTATCAGAAGTTTCCCATAGACTCACAAGGGCATCACCTCATGTCCACGACCACTATTTCATCCACTGCCTCCATCTTACCAGCTCTAATCCCACCAGCAATATCGTATCCTGAGGGTCTTCAAGGGTGAGAAGTTGACTAGTAAACAAGGTTATTGGAAACTGCCGACAGGAGACACCATTCACTATCCCTGACCTAATGTACTTTAAGTATGTATAATGTACCTTCTAATGTACCCTAATAATCTTTCAAATTCTTCTCTCCCCAAGCAAAGATCTGCTCTCTGCTATCTAAATATTTATAAATAGCAGCTATCTAAAAACTCTACTGGTATGAGGCATATCTTCTAAGTCATGCACAAGAAAATAACTTAAAGGCAACATCTTATAACACTTTGCCATCTTATTTAGCACAATGACATTAGAATCCATGATTTAAAAAAAACAGTAAAATCTTATAGTCACACTGTAGTGACCACAAGGTACTCCATATCCAAAAAACTTTTTAAAAGTTAGGTGCTTAGGACAAGTTAAAAAAATTCATCACAGGAATTCTGCTGAGTTTGTACAACGAAGCCTCTTCCCTTGGATGTGTTTTCTTTCTTTACCCTCCCTAAATGACATAAGGATCATCTTGGGCCCTTTCACAGTCTCCCAGTATCTGCTCTGAAAAACGGAGCTAATTTTGTTTGTGTTGCACTTATCTTGCTGGGCTAGCACTCCAGAGAAAGTTTCCATTAACAGTTGGTGTATGTGTGCAGTAGTGTGTATGTGAACGTGAACTTACTGTATGCGTGGCGTTGGGAGCCCCTGAGGCTTGGCATTAAGTGTTTAATGAGTCCTCCTCTGTCCACATCAGACAGCTGGTCGTTTTTGGCTGGTCTCCCACCTCCTCTCTGCTTTTTTTTCTCATGTTTTTGTTACCGTATACAGAAAGACTCTCGTAAAAGCCTCATTGGTTTGCGGTTACTGTGCCCTCATTTTGTTGACTTAATAACACAAAATTGTTAAAACTGCCCACTGACTAATACACACATTATTGAAGGTGGCTGATGGTTTTAAAACGGTCCGAGGCTTTTAAGTCCATCACACATCATTATAAGGGAAAATGTTTGGTTGAGAAATAAGAAGATTTAGGGTCGCTGTTCGAAATGAAAGACCTGCAATATCACATAATATAAAAGAGCTATCATTGCAATGGATGACATTGTACTTCATATAAAAGCACCAATGTGTTGCACCATTACAAATATCTAGTAGACAATAGTCTTGTGTTGTCAGTAAAACCACCTTTTTCTCATTTCAGACAATAATTATCCTTAAATTGTCTGGCTTAGAAACTCTGAAATGCAATGAGAACTGATTATCTTACTCATTGTTTTTATCAGACACTTAACAGCAGTTTGATTGCATGTTGTTGGCTTGGTGCCTTGCAGAAATTGATTAAGTAGAGCTCACAAGTGATGAAGGAGACTGATTTGTTTACTTCCTATGATGGTTGTATCTTAGCTACTCAACATGGGATGATGTGAAAATACATGTCATAATTGTCCTGGCTAAAATCATTGTGATAATAACCTGATAAACACCAAAATATTCTCAAATATCCTCTTTAAAAGTCACTAAAATATACTGGAACCTCTCCACCGTACATCTTGTTATTGCATCACAGATAGGATGAATCGTTTCAGTTGACAAACCATCACACAATCTTGAATAAAGTAATCATAAATGATTAGCCCGACCTTGTTTAAGAAATCAATTCATTGGTTTAATCCGTGCTAAAATCGTGTATAGTGACAAACGCCTTCTTTGCTGCACTCCCGTCAAATCACTCAACTTACCTAACCCTCCTTGCAGACAAACACCCAATATGTGTTATGAAATATGTTCTGTCTGTCACCTCAAGGTTTACTCGCACAGAAACCCCAGGAGAGGACAGATAAAGAATATTTCACCTCCCTGCTGGTCAACAATCAAACTGTCAGTGCTTAAAGGGCCCCAGCTGTCCCCACAAGCTGTCCATCTGGTTACTTGTCCCATTCATATATATGTCAACAGGAAAGAAACTGTGAACATGTACAGGGTTATTTAACATTGAACAACAATAAACAATTTAACCAAAATACTTTTTCCATTAGCTGTCAGTGGGAAAATGTCATGTGTCCAGATACATAAAACATTCTTAAGAAAAAAGATGATTGAAGTGTTTCCTTAATTCACAAATGTTAAACTCATGTCCTTATCATTGCTTGTTAAAATAGTTGTATAATGTTTTCTGTGGCACTGCAGGGACCCCTGTTAAGTCAGCGTGATGTCGACCCCAATTTTTCTCCGATTTTTAGAAAATATATTATAATATAAACACCAAAACATTTTGGATACAGTCAATATTTCATTAAGCTGAGCAGGAACAGTGTTACCAGAAAAACACTTGGCGTGTGAGTTATCACATTCTAGTTTTGCAGGAAAGTAGAAGAGCTTATTAAATATACAACCAGTTGCTGAATACCTGTATAATGCTTTGATTTACAACAAATAAGCACAACGTTCCAATTCCAAGTTTGAATCTCTATGGTTATGGCACTTATTGTAAGTCGCTTTGGATAAAAGCATCAGCCAAATTCAAATGTAATGTAAACAGTAAAATATTAAGAAAGAAAAATGTGTTTATAACATCAACTTTGGTCCAAATCCAGACTTTTCCTGTATTCCCTAGTGCTCCAAGACTTACTCAAGCCAGTTCCTGGAGACCTATAATGCCCACAGCATGACAGTGGATGCAGTGAAGTGGAACCACTTCCACCCCAAGGTTTTCATCTCCTGCAGTTCAGACTGGACCGTCAAAATCTGGGACCATACCATCAAGTAAGACAACTCATAAACTCAATTCCATTTTGTCTTTGTGTGATCTAGCTTTCAGTAGAAGCTTAACAATATTATTTATGTTTTCATCATGAAACGGCATTTCCATTCGAGTAGTTTTCCGACATTACATTACTTATGTTCTGGGTTCAAAATGTCTATGCACGATCCAGGCTGAGATCATTAACATTCCTGTAATCATTCTACAATATTACACTTTGTTATTCTTTATTACCTTCTTATTCTCATGGACCCAGCTTAATTATCTTTCCTCATTTAACTAACCCACAGTGCCTCCCACTTCTTGTCAGCAAAGGCAGCTTGACTGAGTAATGATAGTAATCATCCTCCCCTTATGAGAGACAGGGTTTTCAAGAATGATCCATTACTGCCCATAGATAGAGGACATATTGTTTCCAGGAAAGAGTCTGACTGGATCAACAACTTTCCACAGACTTTGCCACGCAGTTCAGAAATATCGTCAAAACTGTAGTCTGAAACGGCTACCGATGAGGCTAACAACTTATACTGGAAAACTGTCACATGGCATCAGCCAGTCCTTAAAAACCTGAAGTAGTAATAGAAGCATTGAGTCTCTTAATGACACAAAAGGGCAGCTTGATAATTTCACTTCGGCCTGGAGTCAAACTTGGACATAACTTATGAATTGGATTTCCAGTATGTGCAGTGTCATTCTGCTGTAAAACCCTCACTTGAGTGAGATGAATCACCTCATTGCACCTGATCTCAGACATATTTTACACCTACCAGAGTGCATGTTGTTTATCAAACAGACATATTTGCATGGAGCACAGTTTCTCTGTCATCTGAGGCTCATCTTGCACTTGCAAAATCAATAATGGAAGCCGCCTGTGGGCAAATAATGGAAAGAGTGTTAAGTGTTGCTAATTGTAGGTTCAGTTTTCCAAATACTTTCAACCCGTGTGAATATTTGAGAGTATAATGTGTTATGTAAAAAAAGTATTCTGTATAAACCTCAAGGACAGCAGTTTTCAATGCTCCTCAAATAAATGCGTAATGGAGCTACAAGGAAACAATAAATGAAATATTGAAGCTGAAAGCTGCTATAACTGAGTCCTCGCACATCCATTTGCTTAGGAGGCATTGAGAGGACGCTGGTTGAAGCTGAAGTGCGATGCGCTGGAAATTACTGTATGGTAAATCTTTCAAAAACGTTCTTTGACGACTGTGTGGCACTAAGAAAACACACGATAAATACACATTCGGGACACCGGTTGCACTGCATTGCCACGACCATTGGAGACCAGACGAATGAGTGAAAGTTAAGAGACAAAGAGAAAGAAGAAGAATGTCTTTGACCCCCAACATTTCATCTCATTCATACACAATGTTAAAGCACCATTTTGATCTCCTTATAACATATTTCAACATTGCTACATGTTGACTTGCTCACAGTAGACTGAATAGAGCCTCTTGAGCTCTGCTTTATCTGCATTCACCCGTATATCAAACACTATTACCTACAGACAACTAGTGCCATTAGCGTTAATGTACACACTCTAGTCTGACCTTCTGTGTTTCCAAAGTTGATACCTATTCAAATACACATTTTTTGCCTCGCTTTTAATGCAATATAATGAGAAGTAACAGACTTCCTGTCTGACCGCCGATCTCTGTGTTTTTCAGCACTCCCATGTTCACCTTTGATCTGAAAGCAGCAGTTGGTGATGTTGCCTGGGCTCCATACTCCTCCACTGTATTCGCCGCTGTCACAACAGACGCAACGGTAAGTGTCTGTTTAAACTCACATCATGCAGCCCACCACTGCAACTTAAACATTTAGACGTTTTTGCCTGTTTGGGTTTTTGGAATACCCCAAATCAGCATGATTTGTGCTTGGATTTGTTATTATAAAGTACAAGAATCTCACATTACTGATTTGGAATCCAAGTGTTTTTCATTTATAAAAAACTGATTTGGTAGAGTGCACCTTGAATGTTTCTTTCCTTTGACTAGGTTAGGAAGTAAAGACACATTACTCATAAACTTTATCAATACAATGAATCAAAAATATAACAACATCTGAGATATTTCATGGCTCCAGGTGATATAGGGTGACAGTACAAACAGTCTCAGACCTATGAGAGGGCCTATAGGATGCTCTGTCTGAAGACTATGATTATCACCACGCACATCTGCTGTGTACCTAAGATAACATGAGCTTGACACTCACCTGACGGAACACGTGAAATCACAGCTGCACCACCTGCCCCCCACTTCATTATGATTCCTGTAATATAGTTAAAGCCCCAGCTGACTAAACCCTTCCTTATTCAGAAGGCTAAGCCTCAGGAAATTGTGTCTAGTTTCTTGTGACAATAGCTGCTTCCTGCCCTCCAAGAGGTTATTGATTCCAGCCAAGAGTAATTGCAGTGGATGCCGGGTTGCTTATTTACACATCATTTCTTACTATGGCTGCAAGCTGTCCCCCTCTGTTTGTCTTCACACCAGTCTGCACCGGGCTATAAAAGTCCAGAGTGTTGTGTCTGACACATATCCTGTCCAGTGTGCCAAGAGACGTGGAGTGAGAGTGACAAAAATGAAATGAGAGCTGGGAAATTTGAGAAACACCTTATGTGATAGCGTGTGTGTTCCGTACTCCCAAATGCCTGAATTCAATCTCGTAGGCAGAATTCATACTGCAGTGTACCCATTTTTATGGAAATGATTTCACAACCAATAGAGGAAATGTCAGAGTTGAAGACAAATTCATAACCACAAATAAAATGTCCCTTTACACTCAACAAGTTTACATAACTGGCAATGCATCCAGAATATAACCAGTGGTTTGTTTGATTGTAAACATCCTCTACAGAAGAAAATCAAATTAAATGACTTTGCTTGAAAGCATATTTAATCTCAGGCCTGTGTTGCGAGTTATTCTCTGAAACTGGATCAAAGGCAATTTTCAGCAGCTATTAAAAAAACTCATTAAAAGCCCATCAGTTGGCATACATTTTTACAAGCACAATATCCACTCTTTCTAAGCAGCAGGAAGGACAAGGATATTTAATTGGAGTCGATCAAGGTCGTCGTGACTGGTCTATTTTTTATCAGTGTGCTAAACTCAACACTGAACTATCATTTCAGCCAAGGATTTGCTTGGGCAAAATAGACTTCTGTTGACATTAGCTATACTAGTGTTTACTGTAATGTCACATTTTGAGATCTGATCTGTATTCACTAAATAACTGTTTAACATTCAGTCCAAGGCGAAGCGATACTCATCATGTGGTGGGGATCACATCTTATAAAAACAATTGCATTGTATTGAACAATTAAAGAATATTCTCAGTATTCTCACGTTCACCAGTGTGGTAGCAGTGCTTCATGGTAATCAGCTAATTATTCCCAATGATTGCAGTTCATTTGTCGTTTGCTGACACGTGTCTGTTAGAGCCTGCGTGACTCATGAGCTGTGCGCCCATTGACGTGTATTTTCGGTTGATGAAAACCTGACCTGCTTCTGCCACATTACAAAGTGCCAGAAGCACAATGACGTGCGTGTGTGTGTGTGTGTGTGTGCGTGTGCGTGTGTGTGTGCGTGTGCGCGTGTGCGTGTGCGTTCATAAGAATAATGACGTGCCTGGCAAGCTGAGGTGTAAGAATGACACTGAGTTGTGCAGTGCAAACAAATCAAATGTCTCTTGGTTCTCTCTGTTCTTGCCTCTCCATCTGAGCTGACTGTCAAGTGTCAGGTTGAAATAATGCAAGACCCAGGCCTATCCTCCAGTGATGAGTCTGAAATCCATATTTTCTCTTTGTGCACCCCCTGAACATGGACTGGCTCATCATTCAGTTAATATACCTGCATCGGTTCATACTAGATTTTGTGGATGTGAAACTTTAAAAACATCAACCTAAAGTCATAAAATCTGCCTAAATAATTCATCAAATATAATACGTTAAAATAAATGAAATTACAATATGTAATGCAATATCAATTTGATAAATCATTAGGTCTGCACAATGCACGGAAAATATACAATTATGTTTTTGAATATCACAATAACAATATCATTATATTTGTAGTGCCTGGGCTGCTCAGTATACTGACACAATACAAAATTGCACAGTAAATACATTTTTTAAAGTATTTATTAAACATTAAAGGCTCCAATTTAAAGAAGACAATTACTACATTTCTTTAGTGTGTTTATATTATAGTCATTTCAGCAGTAAAATGCATCCTAATTTATTGTGTGAATTTCAAATGTAGTTGTGGTGTACCAATGCTACATTAGTGCTAATATATAAAAAGCAAAAACACTGCAGATAATGGCTGAAGTGGTGGAGGTTACAGGAAGTCATGCTCTGGTAGAAAATGATGATTGGTAGCGAGTGATGACAGCGAAGGTTTGTGTGGTGCTGGGACATATTCAGTGTGAACCCTCGCAGCCGGAGCACACTCATCGTTCTGGTGAAAGGAGTGGGATGTGCTGTGCTGTTGCCGGAAAATTGTCCATATGAAAGGTGAGAGAAGAATACATGTGATGTGGATCTTTCTGGATAATGATGTGAGGATGATGAGGAGGATTTAGTGTTTGGGCTGCCAGCACAGACAAACACACATATGCGCACGAAGGGACAGAATTGAACACTCATTGAAGTACAGGGAACACCCTTCCTTGCACCAGATGGTCAGGCTGCATCCCTGCAGAGGCTCCAGCAGTCTCCTTCTTACATCAAAGATAACACAAACACAAAATATGAAAAGGCAGTCTGTGTCAACAGATTTAGCCTTCACTTTCTTGGCAACATCTTCAGAAGTTCATTCTCCAGCTTAAATATAGCGGTCAGTAAGATGTGTCAGCTTTTACCAGATTTGATCTAAACCTCCATGCAGTGCTGCTGGTTAGCCAATATCCTAAAATGTAATTTCATAGTTTAATTTCCATTTCATTTAATCGTTTATTTGAAGAGGGACAATGCACATTGATGAACATTTTTAACAATTAATGCTTCAAATCTAAATATGCCGGATTTGAGCTTTTAGCTAATTTCCATCCGTAGTCCCTGACATACAACATTTAAGAAAATGACATTTATATACATAACAAAAATAAATACATGATATGCAGAAAGAGCATGAGCAGCATATAAACATTTATTTAAAAAAAAAAATACTTTTAAAAGACTTAAAATGGTCAAAACTCAAGAAATTGTGTTTTTCAAGGATGGTACAGTGGTGGTATGAAAAAGGCTTTCTGTCAAACACCTTGATAGCTCTCTTGTACAGCTGTTCTACTGGTTTCAGGTTTGTGGCACAAGCAAACGATCAGTTTGTCAAACAGTATTCAATGTGGGATAGAATCATACAGTGGAGGTATGACTTTGCAGCATTGACAGTTAAGAAAGGTCTAATTTGTTTAACATTTTGCAAGTTGAATTTAATGGATACTTTCTTGATATGTTTCTTAAAAGTCAAGTTTGAGTCCAATATGACTGCAAGATACTTGAAGTGGGAGACTAGTTCTATTTCTGCTCCGTTTAAAAACACACTTCGATTTTTATTGGTCGTTTACTGAACATCATGCATACTGTTTTTTTTACATTTAACTGTATAGTAAGAAAATGTTGTTCAGCCAGTGTTGAACCTTGTCCAAAGCACAGTTCTGTATTTATAAACAACACATTCATTCTTTTGATTACTCATCTTTTCCAGGTCCATGTCTTTGACCTCAGCATCAACAAATATGAGGCCATTTGCCAGCAGCTAGTGGCGGCCAAAAAGAAGACCAAGCTGACTCACATCGAGTTTAATCCCATCCATCCTATCATCATAGTGGGCGATGACCGAGGCAACGTCATCAGCCTCAAACTCTCCCCGAACCTCCGCAAGAAACCCAAGGTAAGATCCCTTTTGAAATACAGAGCCTGACTAGAAGTGACAAAGAATAAACTAATAGTGTATATAACTGCCCTACCCTTCCGCTTTCTGCTCCTTCTTTGTATTCAGGCTCTACTGTCACATACAAATGGAGCTTGTCTATGTTACAGATTTGACACCAAATATCATGCCAATTTCAGAATAAGTGTGTTCTGCATTGTGAGTGTTGCTCTCGAGGGAAAGGATATACAAAGACAATTATATATCACAATACTTTTGACTAAATACATCAACATCATGACGATATTGTACTTTCGACTCTTAATGATCTTGCAAAGTATTTACACAATGAGAATTGAATAAATGATCAACAGATCATCACTAATCTGGACTTAATGACTAAGCAGGTAAAGACAAATAATAGAACCGCTAAAGCAGCCTGGTGAACTCATAAGATTACATCAATGTACCTTAATGCAGCCTTGAAACCCAGGGAAATACTTAATAATATCTTGTCACATATAAAGATATCGACATAATATCGATATATTGCCCAGCCCGACTCTTGTTGTGACATTTTGGTTTATATAGCACCTTATCATTACACGATCTGAACTGATTTATATCTGCCCATTTGCATTGTTGATGGCTGCCACTTTTATTGTCATTACATAGTACAGGTACTATGTAACAAAATGGTTTCTTTGCATTTGACCCATCCTAGTGTTAGGAGCAGTGGGCTGCCATTATGAACGGCGGCCAGAGAGCAGTGTAGGGAACGGTGCCTTGCTCAGGGACACCTTGGTCTTGCCTGGACTTGAACTGGTGACCTTCTAGTTGCCAAGCCAAATCCCTATGGACTTCGCCACCACCGCCCACTTGTTCCACATCAATGAAAGCAGATCACATGATTCATTCTTGACACTGTCCTGACCTCGAGCTAATTTCACCAAATAACAACAGAATGAAGCCCCCCCCCCTCCCCTCAACTCATTACTCTCCCTCGCTCCTTTGGGCCAGTTAGCAATAAGCCAAAGAGAAGTTGAGTGTTCTTTGTAATTGAATAAGCTTGTTAGAAATGATCAGTGGAAGGAGAGCCAGAACATCAATTGTCAAAATGAGAGTGGAAATCAACATGTTTGCCAGTGATTACACAGTGGGTAGTCTCAGGCCATGGATCTTTCTCACAAGTCATCCCTATTCCCTTTCACTCATACTGTGAAACTGCCAATTAATACGATGATAATGGAGAAGATCATCTTTGAGAAAAGAAAGCTCAAATACATTTTGTATTCAAAGCAAGTTGTAGCTATACTGTCAAACTAAAATCGAGGTCGAGCCACTCACAATCAATGAGTCACTGAAGGCTCTGTTGCCACTCATGACCATGGTTAATGAGCTGCGGAGTAATCACAGCAGTCCTACTAAACACAGGGGGAACCAAATAGCACACTGAGTCACAACACTTTAATCAGGGCCCATTTAGAGTCATCTCTGCAGCCTCTCCGGCTTCTCTTTGTGTTGGTCACATGGGTGCATGTAAAGTAAACGAAATTCTAATGACTAGAGAAATATGCATTTATTCCCACAACACATTCTGTGTGCGTTATACATGGCATTACCGGGCCTGGCTGCAACACGCATAAACGGTTCTCATTCTCACCACTCACATTAACACCGTTTGTATGAGTACAGCACAGCAACACATGCACACACATCCAGTGCTACCTCATTAGCGACCTCAGACTGTAGCCCTCAAGCGTACAATTGGGAAATAATTGCACAGTTCAGCACCACTGACAGCGCTCACAGCATTTTGGAACTCAGTGTGGCAAATAAGCATCAGGCACAAACACCCACAGCAAATATTATGAGTATTACGTCTTATACAATTGGCACAGCAGCCCACTAAAACTTGCACAATTGGCATGGTGGCCCATTAATATACCAAGAACTTTGGCCTGGCAATCCAGACTGTAACAATTCAACTGTGTTGTACTCACTTATTTGAAGGGCATTCTGACGAGGCAGTCCAGCTTCTTCACTTGCTTACACTCACCGGACCAGTCTGCTTGACATCGTGTGTCTGTGGTGCCCCGCAAAAGTTGTTTTAATGAATTTCTTTGAGCTTTGTGTCAGAAAACAGATGTACATTGCCAAAATATATTCAGAAATGCTCTGAGGGCTCTCCATTGAACTGAACAGTTATTTCCCAGTACTCCAGTGTTTCAATTTGCCGGTAGATACCTGACTCTGACAGGAAAAATGTGTTGAAGTCCAACACATTTAATTCCCTTCCGTTATAATTCCCCCTAAACACAATTTGAAGTGTATTTGAAGGCCACAGCCCCTCTCATCGATGCTACAAGTGCACAAGTGACAGCACTTGATTTCATGTCGGCGGCAGCAGCACGCCTAATTTAAAATGTTATAAGCCAGGCACAGGCTTGTACACTTTGCAAATTCCTTGTTAAGATTTACGGCTTACGCTTTTGTATTATTTAGCTTAAAGCACTACTCTACAAGGCAGGGCTTGTTTTTAATTGAATACTAATCAATCAAACACAAATCTACATATCTTGATGATGTCATTCTTTATATAGTCTACCTATCAATCGTTTTTAGGCTCAATAATAAACGCAGGTCATATCTGACCCCCCCCCCCGACACTAGCACGAACCACTTTTGTACACACAGTATTATTGTCTATATAACATCTATCATAACATTTGTATTCATGAGTGCTATAAAATGAGCTACATTCTGGGTCTCATAACGCAGGTGGAGCTTCCCATCTGTGTGCATTACTTTACTCTAACAAAACAAGTCTGGCATTGTTGTGCCTCTGTAGGCAGACCAGCCAATAATTCAGAGAATAAATCAGAACACAAATACACATTTTGAGATTTGTATTAACTAACATGTATTCAAATATTTTCAAGTAGCCTGGTTTAAATCTTGCACTGACTTTGAATGTAGCACACATGAATCACCTTGATGCATCCCTTCAGCAGTTGGATGATAAACTGTGGACTGCTTCCTTTCTCATTCTAAAGCCTGTTTGTTGGATGTCTTTGTGAGAGCGGGGCAGTCCAATACATTCACTGTTTACATAAACGGTAATCCACTTTTCTGTTGAGTGCTATAGCCTATTTTCATGCAGTTTTGGAATGATTTGGACTTCTGCACCTCACTCTACTTTTCTTTACCTTAGAATTTCCTTTCTGTGTTTACATAAACAATAATATCTAATCATGTTCATTATAGGTAACTTACTTCTGCAAATGCTATAGTCATGTAAATACAACCTTCTTGTTCATGGCATTACTACAAATCCATTACATTTGTACAGTATATCCAGTAAGTTGTAGTAATTCAGTGGTACAAGCTGTAATGCGTGTTGCCTCTTTTGAACAGTTCCTGATTAAGATCAAGAAAACTAAGTCCAAACCTGTAACGAAAGTAAATGAGCTTTGATAACGGCCCGTTAAATGTGCTTTTCTACACACAGGAGTATGTAATGCACCAATAATCACAACACACCACACAATGTAACATCTCTTTGATGGGCCCTTTAGGCAGTAGCGCCATGTCTTAAAAGAACATTTGACAATGTGGTGGACAGAAATGATTATATAATGGAGTAATATAACCACTCTGCTGCCATTGACCTTACATCCATTTCAATATCTGCCTGATTGTGTTGTGTTCTCCTCTGTTTAACTGCCTTTCACTGTGTGTGTGTGTGTGTGTGTGTGTGTGTGTGTGTGTGTGTGTGTGTGTGTGTGTGTGTGTGTGTGTGTGTGTGTGTGTGTGTGTGTGTGTGTGTGTGTGTGTGTGTGTACGCGCGCGCGTGTGTGTGTGTGTGTGTGCGTGTGTGTGTGTGTGTGTGTAGGTCAAGAAGGGTCAGGATCAGCCTAAGGATTCAGAAATGGAAGTAGCCAAGATGGAGAAGCTCCTCAGTCTGCTGAGGGAACCGGAGCAAAGCACAGTTTAACACGGTCGTCGTGTCGTTCATAAGAAAGACGGTTCAGTTGCTCAGTGTGTGCAACATTAAACAGCATTTCAAGAAAAAACGATTTGTATGAGTTTATTAAAAAGGTTTTCATGTCATCTCTCTTAAGCTGTCAATACATTAATTATATTCAGTTAATAATGCATGTATTCATACTGCAGTACATGTCAAACAGGCAACGTTAGAATTCCAATGCATTGATTGACCTCTTCTGCAGGATGTATTAAACACGTTCAGTATGTATTGTACAAGTTAATAAAGCTAAAAAGTGAAGGGGGTGAGTTACTGCGAGTTAGACATAAATGAGCGTAATAGATTAAGCATTTATGGAACATATCCAGACAAACTATCTTGGATGGCACACGCCGTCCTGGGCAGCGGTCCAGCTGGAAGCCTTTGAATATCCCATCTACATCTTTGCTTTGAGTCATGGCTGTCTCTATCTTTATTTTGCCTTTTCCTCCATTCCTCTCGGTCCTAATGATCTTGTCCTTCAGTAAAGCACCACCCAGTGCTCTGAAGCTCAACTGGAATCAAATGCTGCCACAGTGCTGTCTTTCTTCCCCCCTCTGCTACAGAGAAATCCTCTGCCCTTCACATCTTCCTGCGAACACATGCAGCTCTCTCTCCCTTAAGTGTGATTCATTACTTCGATGGCTGCTCCATCACCTTATTTTTTACAGACAATGCGTAACAGATTACTCTGGCATTGGGGTTCAAATGAGATTTCAGCTGCACCAGTTACCTTGTTACTGTGGTAATAAGAAGCATTATGCAGGTTTGGGCAAATAACTGTTGGTTTTATTTTAAGTTTTGTTGATTGTTTTGTCATATTTGGGTTGAATGGAAATTTGGTCCAGTAGTTAGAATCAGAGGTCACAATGTCATGGCAACAACAGAAGTATTCCCAGAGTGTACCTGTAGAAATATTTCAGTGATGAATGTTTTTGTAATAACGCAATGTACCTTGCTGTCAGTCACAGTGCAATGTTGGCACTCTGACTGGCAAAGTTGGACATTTTCTTTCTCTACACACACAGCAGAAGCTTTATTAGACATATGTACTACTTGCTTGCTTTTGTTGTGTTGCATGGTAGTGAGACATTTCACCTGGATCGCCTCTTAAAGTAGGCTTTGGCAATATGTCAATAATATATCAATATTGTGATACGACACTGGATATCGTCTTAGATTTGGAGTAAGTTCATTGTCATAATCTGGTATTGCTATTTAAGCTAACTTGAATTCTGTTTTCCAACTTACTTTACTGAAACGCAGTCATCTCGGGTTTGCTTTATTCCCAGCTTTCCAAATTCCAAAGGTAATTGCAGCATCAGTGTGTAACTCTAGTTAGCTGAAAGCCTTGAAGGTAAAGTTTAACATACACATCATAATATCTTTTTAACTCTACAACATGCCTTGTTGAGTCTGAAGTAGCATCTCCAGTGATCGTGATTAAATGCTTAAGTATACGTGTGGTGGGAAAACGTGCACAGCTTCTGTTCGCCATCTGTAGAATTCCACATGATTGATCCCTTTAAGTGTCCGTCCTGTGATTCAGTCCAGAGTGAGTGGGCCATGACGTACAGCCACAAGCAGATGTCAGTGTGAGGGCCGTGTTGAAGAGGAAACAAATCTCATCTAAGCCTCTCCAGTCCTTATGTAACACCCTCAGCAGGGCGCTATGCCGCACGTATTTATGAGTGACAATGACACACACACACACAGAAGCTCAAGTCCATGCTCTCAGCAATATACTGGGGTTCTTGTTTTTTTTCGAGAATAAGAGGATATATTTAGAAACCTAAAACAACATGCTATTCGCTCTTTGTGTAAGGAACATTTCATTATTTTGGCCTTTTTGAATCAAGCATCCATATTTATGGCCATGCAATTTTTGTCGAACTGTGTGTTGAACGCATCGCCATTCCTCCATGCTAAATGATCGAATAAGTGATGGTTGAAAGAAGTGTCTCCTCACTCCACCATAATTCATCCTCGCCATTTTTGTGATGCACAGCCACTCAGACCAGAAGCTAATTTGAATAAGAACCACTAACAGGTCCCGTTGCTCCCTCAGTCCTCTCTCCAGTGGAGGTGTGCACCGAGACGATCGCTTGTTGCTACATTTGACTCTTCGCTCTGCAGTCAGGAGGTCAACAGGTACTTGTGCTCGTTCCCCGGCTGGATTTCTCCCTCGATCGGAGCCAGCACCGACAGCCTCTCCGGGCTGGAGGGGACCCCGCAGGCTCGGTAGAGGATCAGACAGAGAAGAAGTAGGAGGATGGCAACTAATGCGTTGCAGACGATGGCCACCAACGCAGCTGTGGACAGTCCTGTCACGCTGTCTTCAGATTCCATCGTAAAGGCCTGGACTGCAGTGTCGGTCAACTTAGATGTTAGATCTCAAGTTGGTTCCATAATGTCCATAGTGTATTGTTATGAAATGAGACGGAGCATCAACAACGTATTTAATACTTATTTGAAGAAGCTTGAATCCATTCGATTATGATTACTCATGTCCACAGATGGACTAAACTTACTGTATTCCTGTCAGGTTTTTTAATACCTTAATGTGAGGCGGGAAAATCAATATGTATTGTAACTGTAGAAAGGGACTGTTCCTTGGCAGGATGCACATTGTGTTTTGCTGAATATTTAGATTCGACAACAGCAGGAAAGTCTGTCTGTAGCTTTCACTTAAGAGATTGATGTGCACTCCTCCAGGCTCCGTTTTTCTTTTGAGCTTCTTCAAGGTGACACACCACCGCTCCACCATACAGATGAGCCCCGCAGCAGTTTCTGGAAATGCTGACTGCTCTCCTTTGCACTATAACAAGATCCCAATTCCAACTGTAAAAGAAGAACAAACAGAACATTTGGTAGTAATTGAACACAAGCAGAGATGGGACATCAGAACAACATATTTAACTAATTCTATATAACCTTAAATATACAAATTCATCACATGCAGAGAGAGATGGCTGCGTCAAGGATCTTTTATTTAACTAGATCTGAACAGGTGATGAGAAACCGTTCAAAGACAAACTAGTCACAGAAACCTTTCAGTGCTTATTTTTTAGGCTTTACTGTCAATTGAAATTAGTGACCAAACTGAAAAAGACATCAGGTCACAGACGGGGTCTAATAGATTGGAGAAATGCTGGTCAACAAAGGATGTTTTGTATCATAAAGTCCATTTAAAAAAATGTATGACATTTCAATTTTCACCTCTGTTTAGTTCCTTAGAGAGTCTGGTCTTGGGGATGTATATCCTGTACCAGTAAATAATCATTAAATTACATTTCAATGAATGAAATGAATCATTTCAGACATGTAATTCTACAATTATCAGACATACTACAGAAAATAATACATTTGTATTCCTATTCAAGCAAAAACGCAATCTGCAAAACCGAAATACCACTGCCATTATTAGCTTGTTTTGTGTCCATTTAGTGTCAAAGTCCAGGTTTAGAAGCCCTGTTATTTAAATGTGTACACTTCATATTCCTAATTAAGTCTAATTGATCACAGACTTACACAAACAATACGCAGTTCTAGGAAACGGCAATGCTTTAATGGGATTAATGGGAAACAGGTGGGGGTCAGTACAGGCCAACATCCCATTGGTTCTGTGCAAGCCTCCAACCACACAGCAGTCACCCACACTTTGCAGTGTGTACTAGTGTACTAGTGTTTCACCAAAATAAGCCCACATCCTGTGTTGAATCAGATTTTGCATGCCTTTTGTTTTAAATGCACTATCCCTCTCTACCACACAGGTCTAATTCTTTGTAACCCTTCAAATTATCATCTGCACTTCAGGCGGCTCGTATGCAAATATGGAAACACAATCTCAGGAACCATTGAAATTCTCTCCCATTATTTTCCCATTTGGTAAATTAGCATATCCAGACATTTACATAATCTTTTAGTGCGATAAAGTTTACAATAAACGTATGCTACAGACGACAAATAGTGTTTACCGTACCTGTCAGTGGCCAGCGCTTATTTAAAAATCCAAAATATTTGTTAGGTTACTTTATTTGTGGCAAGTTGAATATAGAAGTTGCAAATGATTAAAAATGAAAATATATCACTTATTTTGAGAATTGATCAAATATATTCTCATGTTGACATTTGAGTTATAGAGTGAGTCTTGGTCACATGCTGAGACGGATTGGTTTAAAACAAAAGAGCATCTCTGTGCAATTTCCTCTATGCAATAAAGACGCCAACATTTAATTGTGTTTACTATTACTGTTAATGCTGTAAAAACGTTCTCTTCTCGAGTGGATGCAATTCTGTTAGAAATACAAAAGTTAGCATACAACTCAACAAATATTGACAGATATATTGTATATTGACTTACAATTGGCCTTAATGTGCAATTGGAAAACAACCCAGTGGTAAAGTGGCCCTAGTTCTCATTGCAGAGGTTTTGTTCTGAAATAATACATAAGTGGCGAAGAGCGTGAGTGCAGGCACATCCTGTGAGGAAAAGCTTGTGATTCACAGAGATGAGTCCCTGACTGAATTACCTCATTCTCCCTCTCAGTCAATTCTTAATCTGTTTGTCTCTTTCTCTCTGGGTTCCACAAAAACACCAAACATGTCTACGTTGAGCTGTCTGGAAACCTTGACAGCACTATCACACCCAGACCCTTCTCACCTGTTATCAATCAGTCGGGTCTGTTGATCAGATCTCCCTGCCTCAGTGGAGTTTATAGACCCACAACCCTAAGAGGAAACCCTGCTGTGTGTGACAGGTGGATTTGATAAAGAGTGTTTCATCCAGCGGAGAGGAGCCTTTAAAGATTGAGGAGGATTGTTTTTCAACACAAACAATTTATAACTTCCCCTGAGTGTCTGAGGAAGCAGCACTCCCAACTACAGATCTCCTTGTGTATCATTACTTAATTTAGTGCCGTATTACGTCACAGGAAAAACATCTGTCCTACTGTCTGGATGTTTACTAATTTTTTATTTGTTGTGCTGTCACATGCAAAGCCTCAGATTCATACTTGTTGCTGACTTACCTCGCAGACTCAGCCGACAGTTTCTCTTCTGATTTAAAATCCTCCGTCAGGCTTCCTCCTCTGCTTTCCGTTTTTAAGGATAACAGTTCCCTCTTCAGCTGTCTACCGTACTTGATCCCCTTCTCTCATCCCTGCCTCTGCCTCACCCTCATCTTCTCCATCTGCTCGGCTGCACTACACACATCTGAAGTCTAGGCTGGACTGCACACTCGATGGGGAGAGAGAGAAAGAGGGAGAGAGAGAGAGAGGAGGGGCTGTGCAAGTCGATGTCAGCAGTGATATCAAGCGTAAGAGAGAGCGGATCGGGTTGGATGTAATTACACAGGGCTCCTGCTGCAGACAGGAGTGGGGGGGAGGTTGTTACGGAGAACAAGCAAAGCGGCCTGTCAGATGAAACAATGACTTCAGTCTCGCAGGGTACAGCCAAACAAATAGTTTCTACTGTTCTTCCACGCAGGACTGGGAACAGAGGGAGACATGCTCGGTTATTATGAGACGAAGCCACATTTAGGACCAATCAAGGACATAGTTTTCCTTACAAGTGGTACACTCGGTACAAAGCAAGGGTAAACAGTTTACTTAAAGGTCCCCTATGATACTGTTTTACATCAATATATTATAGGTCTCAGATATATACAAAACATGTCTGTGAAGTGTTTGGCTCGAAATACCAAACAGTTCATGCATTGCAGCATCCCATAAACCCCTCTGTTTCAAAAGTGCTGCTTCTCTGTCTGTTACTTTAGATGAAAATAAGGAGCCCCTCCCCACGCCCCTCTAAGAGATATTTGGTTAAAAAGAACACAATGTTGCTCTAGGAGGAGATTCAGGTGATAAGGTGGGGGGGGGGGGTTACCTTGGTTGGTTATTGGCTAATGGTTACTAAGCCAAAACATCGTTATGACATCACAAAGTGGCTCATGGGTTAGGGTAATCAGCTCATTTTCAGACAGGTTTTTATATAAATGGATCAGGACAAAAAGTGAGCAAATCTTTTTTCCTGAAACTTTCAGACTCTCTTTACACAGAGGGGAGGGGACACATGTTAATGTATAAGAGACATGAAAAAGTGGATTTTGCATAATAGGTGACCTTTAACTTTCCCCTGTCTGTCTATGGAGGTTTCTGTGGTTTTTCTATACCCTCCAATAATATATTTGTTTGTTTTTACTTTTAATTTACCAAAGTGGATACCAAAAGAAGTTACAACAACATCAGAAATATTAACACGTAATAGAATATAAAAAGAGAAGAGGGAGGGGGAGACACAAAAAGAGGAGAGAAGAAAGGATATTGTGCTATTTAATCACGCTCAGTGAGGTATAGGGAGACTCCAATATAAAGAAGACTCAGCTCTGGATGTACTTCAGGAAAGGAGACAAGTTTTTTTTAATAAAAGGGATCCTATTGTCGGTTAGGATTGATCTCCTCCGCCTTGCTTGTACTTTCCTGACGTTGATCGTGCCCGATGAATACATAGTCATGAAACCCATTGGGGTTGTCATTTGGAGACTAATGCTCGCACATGAATTGAAAGTAAACCAGGTAGCATTTTGAAAAGTCACACATCGCATAAACCGGCCCTTTATAGCTCCTCTGATCAATATTAATACATGGTCAATCTAAATAAGCTGTAAAACTATCACTGTGGTGGTAGGGTATTCAAAAAGTAACACTATGGAACTTCTTACAGTACGATGTCAGCACAGCGATGTCTTAAAGGAGGCAAAGCAGCTGACAAAGCAGAGGGAAACAATTAGTGTTGCAGCTAGAGCCGGGCCTGCACACAAAGTGATAAGAACTTGCTTGAGGGCATGAAAAGATTTGTTCTCTTATGAAGAAGAGAGAATGATGAAATAGAAATTCAACTTCCTAGTTAACATTTTATGCCATTTTTGACAAAGAATACTGAGAAAAAATAAGATCCTCATTAGAAATCATAAGGAAAAGAAACGGAACTGGAGTCAATCAATGTCTTGGCCACATATTGTGTTGACATTTTATTCAAACAGTGCTCCTTTTTTCTCTCTTTCTCTTTGTATACATGGGACAGACTTTGCACAATATTATTAATTATTTTCAATACAAGTAGTCAAA